GGGGATGTTTATATTACCTTAGATTTAGGAATGAGACCCACTCTGAAGAAACCAATATGTCCTGATTCAATCTTGGTGCAGTCGACCACAGTAGATGCAATGTTCTCTGGAGAGGGTCCGTCACATAACACTCCATCCACCTAACCAAGCAAAATGTAGTTTATTGCAAAAAATAAAACCCCAGTGCCTCTTGTATTTAATAACACTGAAATACTGTCCTCACCTTTTTGCCCAGCTTGGCGTAAACTTGGTTGTGGTGAGTTGTGTCTGCCTCGCCTGTGGGGTTGGCTGAGGTCACAGCGATGGGCCCCACCTGCAAGAGAAAGGTTGTTGTATTTATTAAATTTTAAAGTTAGTTTCACTCACTTTAAGACTTTGTAGTGATTCATTTCCACAGTCCTTACCAGATTAATGAGGTGTGTGGCCACAGAGCAGTCTGGGTTTCTGATTGCAATGCTTTGTGGAGTCCCAATGTGTTTGGCAGCATCTCCTAAACCAAAAGTGTCCATCCACGGGCCTGCATGAGCCAAGAAACCAATGTGATGATCATAAAACCCTCATCATGCAACATGAGGCACCCACACAGGCATACACACACAATCTCGCACATACACACACACACACACACACACCTCTGGGTATAACCATGCTAATGGAGGAGGGCCACGCAGCCTCCATGAAGTCCAGGAGCAGAGGGCTCAGCAGGTGTTGCACCGGCTCCAGCTGCTTGATGGAGGAGATCCAGAGGGACATGGGTCGGTCCTGCGCCTGCTTCTTCACCCTGAGGTCAGACACAGCAGTTAGGGAGTAATGAGATTGAATCAATACATGAATGCAGATAAAGACACACTCATGAAAACTCACTTGTAAGCTTTGATGACTGCGTCAGGCCTGTTGCAAGCTGCCACCAGCACGTAGACGGTGTCAGTAGGCATTCCACATATGCCACCATTTTTCATGATTTCTGCAGATGGACGAAGAGGAAAAATACATCAACTATACAAACAAATGTGTGTGTTTTCTTATATCAACATTGGGTTCTTTAACAGATTCTCACCTGCAATCTGCTGCACAGACGTGGCCTTGCGGGCTGGTAAATGTGGACAGATATCTGCGCCTCCCCCAACCCCGCTCAGTTTGACTAAAGGTTTTCCTAAGGGGATCTGAGGGGACTGGAAGGTGCTGTTGAAAATGTGCGCAAGGAAACAATAAAAACTGACGAGACCGAAGATGATGGTGACTCCTATGTCGTAACCATATGGCAGTGCACCTACTGCATCCAGCAGGAAGCTAATCAGGATGAGCTGGAAGGTGAGGGTGTAACAAAACCAGGCCACATTTAGAAACAGCGCTGCAGCTGTCACTAAACAGTTAAACAACATGAAGCTAATGATCCCGACAGCCACATTAAAGCTTCTGGTTTCACCATACAGGCCGCCGTACCGTGTCAGCCCCCACACTGCCCACATCACTCCGTACAGAATAAAAACTGTGCTTTCAAAGGTTTTACCTCGAGCAAAGGCCACTGAGCCGCAGAGCAGCTGGAGCACCCCTCCGGCCACCACTGCCCAGGGCAGAACCAGCACAGACAGAGGATCTCCACCAACTGTGGCTGTGATGGCAAAAGCAGCCAGCACACTGCAGGCGTGACCTAACACCTCTGCATCAGCGTACTTAGAGTAGCCCAGGTGAGGCGCATGTAGCTCCTTATCATGGGCTCTGAGAGTAAGACCCTGCATCCTGCTTACTAAAGCCTTGAAACAGCCTGACCCTGTGGGAATCTTTGTAGTGGAGACCATGTTGAATGTGGTAATTAAAAGCATGCTGGCAGTGAATACAAATATAGCTCCCTGTACACCCTGTGTGCCTCCTTGGAAGAAGCCTTGAGGCTGGGCTGCGATTGCAATACAATAAGCTGCAAAGAACAACTGGTAGAGCCCCTCCAGCAAGCTCTTCTGACAGCTGAAGAGAGCCATGATGGAGAAAAGCACAGAGAAGACAACAGGGAAGGGAACAGGGGAGAAAGGCTGAATTTGGTAGAATGATAGGAGCGCGCTGTAGCCCTCTGCAAATTTCAGCAGAGCAGTGAAGCCATAAAAAGTGGCAGCTAGTGTGTCCATGGCTCGGTAGAAGAGGACACACATGCCAAGCTGGAAGACTCCAGCTGTCCACAGCCAGGGGACGTGACCGTAAGAGAGCTGGGGGACCACGCCTAACAGAGGACAGGCTAACACAGAGGCAGACAGCAAGTTCATCACCAGGCCCACTGACACTGCATCGCCACACCCCCGACTCTGCTCTGTTTTCAGCTCAGCTTTCTTCTTCAGGCCCGTTCCTGGAGGCTCCACTTTACCATGAGTGACGGTGGACAGCAGACGTCCAAAACCAAAGTAAACACCCACCAGACAGACAAGCAGGTAGTTAGCAGCTGTGGCAGACTGACCAAAACCTGCAGCTGACAAACCAGCGATTTGATGGGCACAAGCTAAGCTAATGCTGACAGCGATGACAAATAGAACTGCTTTCTTTGCTACGACTGCTGCGCCGCTGATGAAGAGCAGGGCTAAGGTAAATGCTGCCAGGCCAGGGACCAGAGAGGATCTCAGCTCTGTGGGCTGCAGCACCCTCTGCCCCACCAGGATGTACACCAGACCTGAACCACACCACAGAGCGGAGACAGTCAGACACAGAGTGGAAAACAGCTGGGCGTGGGACAGACTGCGACGGATACCTGAGAGACAGAGAGTGAACAGAGCAGAGGAGTGTGAGGTTTACACGCGAGTGCATCAATGAATACTACAAATGAATTAATTTAAAAAAAACTTATAATAAGCAATTATCAAAATTAACCTGCATAAGCTAAGAGGGCTGCAATGATGAGCAGCAGAACCCCCAGTGCAGTATGGGGGATGAAGTCTTTTTCAGGTGAGCTGGCATAGTTGTTCACCAACAGCAGGAGAGAGCCTATGAGTCAAAACATAACACATTATCTATCTTTTACTGGCAAAAACAGACAAACAAACAAAACAAACACAAAATGTAGCAACCATGTTACAACATTTTGATTGTTTTAAGTTACAGATTTGATGTAGGTAATTATTAATTTAATAAAATTATAATAAAATTAAAATTTATACAAGACTAATATGCCAATTTTTAAACTAGTGACGTTAGGTAATTTGGGACATCAGGTAAAATGAGACAAATAAGGGTTTACATATTTAAATATTAGCAGCTAGTCACCAAACATGTTATTTCACTTATACTGCTTTGAAACAATATTCTGAGATAACTGGGATGGGCAGAGCAAAAATAATACAAAAAATGTGACATGTTTATTTTCTCATTCTGGTCATAAGAGCACTGCAGCTAAAACAATAAAGGTATAGCAACAATTGTGGGGTGTCTCATTTTATTATCTGTTAAACTTACAGTCAAAATATTTTCACAATACACTGAACTTTTTATGGAAAAATGTTTTGATGCAGTACTTAATGCATTCAGGTAAAATTTGTATATTTTTCTGAGGTGACCCAGCTTGTTTTTAAGCTACCAGGCACCATTTTTTGTCACTTAAAATATATTCAAGATGATGCAGTGAGTCCACGCCAGTCGCCAGTCACAACAGTTCAAAATTAGCCATCATTTTTACACATTCTTTTTTAATGAATAGCCACAGGTTACATTCATGATTTAATGAATTAATGTCTGAACTGATACATGGATTTAACCATTAAATAAACAAACAAACATGAATGTCCCATTTTACCTTTCTAGTTGTCCCATTGTACCTGAACATATCATCGCAGTAGGCAGGGGCTCTTGATGTGTTTAAAGGTCTAAAGTTTCTCAGTTATTTTACTTGTTGACATATTTTCATTACAGAAATATAGTAGAGATTCATAACAAGCTCTATAAAGTATCACTTAAGGTAGTCTGCGGAATTTTAAGTGGATTTCTTGGTAATCTACCAAAAAGTGTCCCATTAACCTGACCTGTATATCACCATGACATTTAACTACCACCACTAACACAGCTGGTTTCTGATTTTAGTGTCTAGGTTTCAGAGGTTAGAAAACACAGGTCTTATTTATGATGTTACTTTAATTTTTTTTAGCATACAGTTATTTGATATTCATGATGACAGGTAATGATAGAACAACAGCAGAGAGTAGACTTTTCAAAATATGGTAACTGGTGTATGTAAATAAAGGCTTACCGCCGGAGATGCCAAGTATGCCGACGGACACATGTAGTGAGTTGACTTGTGCCATAGCAGGAGGATAACAGGAGTATTTCTTTGTGGACGTGAGGCTGGCTTATATACCGCTGCGTGTGACGTCAGCACGCAGGAGAAACCTGAGCCTCACTGGGGAAAACCGGGGACAGGTACGTCACAGGAGAGGAAAAATACTCCGAAAATGATCGTGTGACTAAGAATGTAAGTTGATGAGGAACTTTGTCATTAGTATGCCTTTGAATATATTAAAAAATACAAAGATATCATGTACCTAAATATGAAAACTAATAGTCCTTGTATAAAATATCGTAATTTCATGAAGGCTATTATTTACTATTAAATTCATATAGCACACATCTGCTGATTTATGTAACTTGTGTATTATTTTTCTTTCCCCCCTACTGTGCTCCATAAAATGCAAATAAGACAAAACTCATATTTTTATCATACTTAAAGCAACATTTTTTTAAGCGTGCCTCTTTTTTTATCTATAAAAATAGTCAAAAGTTAGAGCATGCAAATTTGTTTTATTTAAAGAAAAAAATATCCAGTTTTTTTTTATTTTTTAAACATTCTCAAACAAAGAGGAACAACCCTGTAAAATAAACTAATCGTGTAATCCAAATGTTTCCTCATTGCATCACTTTTCTTGTTAAAAACAGCAGGAATGATTCAGCATTTTATTCCCAACACTGACCACACAGTGTTACCGGTTACCTCTCAGGTGCATGATGTCAGCTTTTCTGGACAGCAGGTTATGGGAGGAGACAGAGAGGTGGGCAGGACTATAAAGAATCTGCTTCAGAGTTCAGCCTGCACACTTCTGCTGAACTGCTCGATCACACACAGCCAGGCCACCTACTCCACGTACACAAGGTGAGATATATCTCCACTCTGTCTTCACTTCTGCCATCTTAACTTAGCCAGAGCTCTCTACTGATATTTTACGAACAAACATGTTGATTTTGGATGATAATGTCAGGATTAAAGGCAAAGTAGCATCGCAAAGTGCACGAGGGACATGGTGAAATACTTCTGATAAATACTCCTTTTACAGTGGTGCGTATTTATTTAGACTAGTGGGGTCTTGTGCAGCATACTCTAGCCTCTTCCTGTAACCTGGTGTCAACAGTGTAACCTAGCAGCAGCAGCACTCCTTGGACTCCGCTGTCACCTGGCTTTGTACAGTTTTTATGTAAACATATGCAACAGGTGGCTCAGGTGCAGCATTCTTTATGTCTGATCGGGAAAGAAATACACACTTTATAATGTCAAACTAATTAAAAGTATATCTCATCTGTGTATTTTATAGGAACCATGGCAAAGCGGGTTGCAGTTATTCTTTCAGGCTGTGGAGTCTATGATGGCACAGAGATCCATGAGGCCTCGGCTGTCCTCGTCCATCTGAGTCGGGCTGGAGCAAAAGTAAGAGCAGGAAAAGACAAGAAGTAAACTTATTGTAGTGTAATCATTTTTTTATTTATGTAAAACTTCTGGATCCAGTCCCATTTAGAGGGACAGTGCAGCTTTCATGTCTACGTTTCTGTCCATTTACTTAGCAAAACAAGAGCACTGTCATGTTCCTGACCCGCTGATATACAGTCGGCCTTTATTTCAACTCTAAAAAGATCTTAGCTACAGAGGCTAACTTGGCATTCTTCATTTCAGGTGCAGATGTTTGCCCCAAATACAGATCAGATGCATGTTGTGAATCACTGTGATGGGAAGCCTACAGAGGAGAAGAGAAACACCCTGCAGGAAAGTGCCCGCATCGCTAGGGGTGAAGTGACTGATCTGGACAAGCTAGATGTTTCAGCATTTGACGCCGCCATCATCCCAGGTACGGCTGACCCAGCTATGAATACATGCCACAGAGTCAAATAATTTCCACTTCCTCTTTTGTGAAAACTTAAATGAATCCTATTTGCTCTCATTCAGGGGGCTTTGGTGTGGCTAAAAACTTGAGTGACTGGGCAGTGAAGAATAAGGGCTGCACCATCCAGCCACATGTGGAGAAGCTCATCAAGGCTTTCCACAAAGCCGGAAAGCCGCTGGGCATGTGCTGCATCGCCCCTGTCCTTGCTGCCAAAATCCTGCCCGGCTGTGAACTCACTGTGGGACAGGACAAAGAGTGTGAAAAGTGCGTGGCCTCGTTTGTCACCATGTGATGTCCTTAGAGTTAAAATAAATCCACCAGCAGTTCTAACTTTGTCTTTTCATCTTTAGGTGGCCGTACGCTCAGACAGCCGGCGCCATGAAGGAGATGGGCTGCAAGCATGTCAACACTGATGTGGAGAAAGCACATGTTGACGTCAAAAACAAGCTGGTGTCCACCTGTGCATTCATGTGCAATGCTCCCATTCATACTATCTTTGATGGAATAGGAGTCATGGTTAACGAGACGCTGAAACTGGCTTAAAAAGTCTCTAATGACATACTGGATGTTTGTCTGTACAAGCAGATTGTAGCACTGTAGTCATAGCACTTATCCCTCAGCACTTGTCTGATGTTATACTGTCAATGTGTTGTTTTCATACTTTCAATAAAAGTCACTCTACGAATTAGAATTTTGCAATTGTTCTTTTAATGAAAATTTAACAATGAAATGCAAAAATCCACAACATAACAACGTAGTATTCACAGACACACATATATACTGCATATTGTGTGAACATAAAAGAGACCTTGGTTTAATGAACAGATGATTTTTAAGTTCACTGAAATGTTGACAAAAAATCAATTTACTGATACATATCAAGTCTATAATATTTAGTCTATAAAGTATATTAAAAAATATATATATATTTGAAACGGTTTCAGTACTCTTTTTTGGCAGTATTAGTACAGCAGTCAGCTGCACTCACTCTCAATTATTGCTGATGTTTACTACAGTCATTCTGCTGTTCTCTACGACTAACCAAGAAAAGAAAAGTCATCGTTGTCATGTTGTTGCCTTGTATTTATCATTTAATATGAATTTTAACTTGTATGTCCTCAATGTAAATTTTTCCCCACTGTATTGAAAACGGTATCAAATATTGATATTTTTCAAGGTTTTGTATTGAAGGTAGAGTAGAGAAGGTAGGTATCATATGGATTATTAAAAAAACTAAAAACTCACATATAATGAGACAAACACAACTATTTCCTCTATCAGTTAAAAAGTGTTCAACTTCCCACCACCCCTGCAAGCTTCAGCCTTTGCTGTCGACTTTAACTTCTTTGCTGAGGCCATGTCTTGCAGGAAGCACGTGCTGCTGGGTAACCATTCATTTGCTTGTTTACCGTCCGTTTATGAAAACAGATTAGTTCCGCCTTAGTAGTTCCTACCTGGTGCATGTTTTCAAACTGTTTGATAGCGCTGCCATTGTGAGGTGAACAGAAAAAATGCAAAGTGAACTTGCTTGATGAACTAGTATTGAGTGGTGGGCCACACATAGCCTGGTAAAAAAACGTTTTAAATTTGGTCCACCAGACTTCAGACATGCCTGACTTACTTGATTTACTGTAATATTTAGGTGATTAACATATCTGACTCATTTTCTGTGTTTGTGAAATCCACTTGGATAAACTAAGATTTCCTCACAAGAATTAATAAATTACTGCCACCCAGAACAGTAGAACTTTTTTCAGTTGTTAAAAGGAAAATATTCTGAATGTCACTGTGCTACATTTTGACAACTTTGGTGCATCAAATATGTGTAAAGACAAACTTGAAGTGGAGCAGTGCTTTGGGAAAGAAATAATTAATTCATGGAGTGCAGTCTGTTTTATAAAAATCTACTGCATTAGCAATCTAATACACCTCACTAAAATGTAAAGTCTTGAATCCCCTAATTAACTTTGATTTTACAGGTAGATATTTTACAAATTCACACAAAAACAAGCTGTGACGAAATGACTGCTGTTGGATTTTGAGGATTTGTATCACCAAATCCTAATAATAAAGTATATAACTCTATTCCAATACCTTTTAGTAAAGATGTAAAGACAATTTAAGTGTAACTGCAGAACTGAGATTTGCTGACTGACCAGTGTCAGGATGCTTTGACATTCATTTTAAAGCAGTTTTTAACAGTTAAATGCAGATATGGCATAATACAATGTCCATACATTTTGTACATTAAAACAATATATTATTTATTGATCATCTATTGACAGTTGATACATTTCAATACTTTGCAATTTAGTACAATTTGGGGTAACTATAAAATATTCTAGTAAAGTGTACAAGTAACTGTTGTTGCATGTAGGACGAATCCAGGAAGTATTTATGTTTTGTTGGAGAAATTATTGAACCCATCCGTTCCACAGGCCAACTCTGTCGCAGCAAACTTCCTGGGACGATCAGGATCCTAACAGCAACAAAAAGAATCAGGATCAATACACTGTAAATCTGTGAAACTTGCACCTGCACAAACCCAGCAATAAATCTATAATCATGTTTGTCTCACCTGTATGGGATATGCACAGGTGGGAACGTAACGGATCACAAATCCACAGCGCCTCTTCTGAGATGTATTGGCATCACTGGCATGGACGAGGAGTCCGTCATGAATCTGTTAAAATAAATCCAAATTAATTCACCTTGTACTCAAACATATTCATAATCCTGTGTTCAATAAAAACAAAACAAAACTCACAGACATCTGCCCAGCTAACAGAGGGCACAACACAGCCTCATCAGCCTGCACCAGCTCCTCTGGGATCTCCTGATTGACCGACAGCATGTTTCCAGGGCGGGTGGCTTGGCGATGGGGCAACATGCCAGAGCAGTGGCTACCTGCAGGGCACAGAGACAAACGGTTCAGCTCAGTGAAGCAGGTTATTGGCTGTTGAACAATCATATAGTATTTGGTGGAAGTAAAGACAAGCTCTTGTGCTGCTTTTCCAAACTGATGTCCAACCAGGTATAAACTTGCAGCAGACATGAGTAGCTGAGGTACCTGGGATGACCTGAAGGGCGCCGTTCTCTTGCAGTGAGTCATCTAAAGCGAGCCACACAGAGAGAACAGGGCCACCAGCAATACCCCAATACCTGTGACCGAAACAATTACAGTTAACAAAGACAAAATGAAGCAAAACTAAACCTCTCCGTGTTTTTTTCCAGTACATGAATCTACCTCATATCCTGGTGCCAGGCCACATATGGAAGTCCAGGTTTAGTTTCTCCTTCTTTGTTCTCCTCGACCTCGGGTTTGAGTGCTGGGTATTTACAGATGAAGCGGGAGTCCAGCAGGATGACATCAGGGCCAAGGACGGCTTTGACCACTTGTATGATTTTAGTATGTTTGGTCAGGTCTCTCACCCACGGATACTGCATGTGAACATTGTGGAGGCTGTACGAAGTGTACTCCTCACCTGGGAACACACAAGCACATAATATACTCACTCGCTGGCACTCATTAAACAAGACAGACACACTTCACACAAAAACATGAAAAGTGAATGTCATATTTGAGTCTATATTGCACACAAAGCCACATTCCTGACAACTAAATTTGATCTTATTAGTTATTACTGTCACTCAATACTGCATTCTTTCTCTTCATCCTCCCTTATCTGTCAGTGCTGCTTACCAAATTCCCTCTCCAGCTCAGAAAAGGCGTGTTTGGCCTCCCTCAGCTCAGTCTCATTCAACACAGGCAGCGCGGAGAGGAAGCCCTGCTGGTTGTAGATCTCCTGCAGTTTAGCCGTGGATGTAGTCATCTCTGTTGGACAGTTTCACTGCTGATGCCTCGGGCTCTCTTCTTCCAAACTTGTGGTGGAGGGTAGAGGCAGGAAAATAGAGGAAAAGGTTAGGTTTAAATATAGTCAATATTCTGTCTGACATTGCATTTTCAATCTAGGTTTTGAGACAAGTCCAATTTTAATTTATGCGGAGTGCAGACATTAAAAAAAGAGCATGCTGACCCAGCTGGCCTGATGGGGAAAAAAACATCTAACCACATTTATTTGGGTCGCACTGAGCACCACCTTGTTCTTCATGCCCTATAAGACCAAATTAACCCTGCTGACTACACCAGTCTATTCTATGTTAAGAGTTTACTTGTAAGATGTAAGATCTGTTGACCAAACATTACACTCAACACAGTGGAAAAGGTAAAGACTGAAAACTGTCCTTTAGCCTCCATGATCCTGAACATAAGCACTCGACCTGCAGTGATGCAAAACTGACTTAAAGCCTAATTATAAGATAAAACTGGTAACACCACAGTGGAAAAAAACATTGAGAGTGATGTTTTAAATAACTAAAAATGACTGTATAAACACATAAGCAGTATTTGTAAGTTCTATCTATCACTTTATAAAGATTATATGCTGTTAGTTTAACTTTATGCACATTTATTTATATATATTTTCATCTGCAATTTAACTACACCTGCAGTAAGTATCATATTGTGTCCATACCTGTCTGCTGTTCAGTCTTCTCCTCTCTCTGTGAGTCTGGACTTTGGATGCTGCCAAGCTCCCCTGTGGCAACCATTATATACTGCACGGAGCACCTTCTGGAAATTCCTCTTCCTTAATATTTTACAGTTTCTCATGTACTGTCATGCGGGTCTAACCAACCATTCTCTCGTGTGCTCAAATGACATCACACTTTCATATCTTAAGGAAAACTAATTTAACGGGAAAAACCCGTGACTCTGTGACGCACCCTGCCTCTGTATTGCGCTGCAGTCCAGGTGTGGTGGACGTTTATTCACTACAATAACATGATACTTTTTCTTTTCAGCAGCTACACGCCAGGCTTGTGTTATCTCCATTTACAATGTGAACGTTATGTTTTACCATCAGCAAACGTCACTGTTATTTGCTTAGATAAAGGTTATTTTTGAGGCTGTCTCACTTTGACATCGGTCAAAAACTGATATGACGGATTCATCTTTAGTTCACAGGAAGCCATTACACAGTCTGACTAACTTTTCCTATCATCACCACCTTATATTCACCGTTTCTCTTCCTTGTGAGGAACTCAGACAGCTAAGACATGATAACTGATCACAGTAAACATATATCTCATATTGTGTGTAATAGGTGTGCTATCGCACTAGTGGGTGTACAACACTGTTTAAATAATTAACAACAGAATGGGAGATCCTGATGGTCTCCTTTCACAGTAATGGATAAAACTTTAGCCAGCTTCCTCTTTGTTTAAATGTGATTTTAATCATTGTTCTAGACATTGTAAAGTCATTGTTACCATTATTTCAAATTGTCTTTCTACCTTACCAGACAAAGTGCTTTATAATTGCCTCTCACTGACCCTTTCACACACATTCAGACACTAATGGTAGCGGAGCAGCCACTGAAGACACTGCCTGCCCATTGGGAGCAACTTGGGGGTCAGGACCTTGCTCACATGTGGACAGAAGGAGCCAGGGATTGAACCACCAACCTTGTGATTAAAGAATGACCTGCTCTGGGTCACAGCCGCCCTTTATATGTCCTTTATATCTTTACTAGTCCATACCCATTGAGTGCACAGTTGCCCACGTACAGTTTCACATGGTGTGTGTTTGGGATACAGGTCATTGGAAATTGCAGATTAAATTTTCAACTG